TCCAGGATCCTGCTGACCGTGGTGGTGATCTTCCGGATCCTCATTGTGGCCATTGTAGGGGAGACGGTGTACGATGACGAGCAAACCATGTTTGTCTGTAACACGCTGCAGCCAGGCTGCAACCAGGCTTGTTACGACCAGGCTTTCCCTATTTCTCATATAAGGTACTGGGTGTTCCAGATCATCATGGTGTGCACTCCCAGCCTTTGCTTCATAACGTACTCCGTTCACCAGTCTGCTAAGCAGAGGGAACGGAGGTACTCCACTGTCTTCCTCACCTTGGAGAGGGACCAGGATTCGATGAAGCGTGAGGACAGTAAGAAAATCAAGAACACGATTGTCAATGGGGTGCTGCAGAACACTGAGAACTCCACCAAAGAGGCAGAACCAGACTGCTTAGAAGTGAAGGAAATCCCCAACCCTGCTATCAGAACTACAAAGTCAAAGATGAGGAGGCAAGAAGGCATTTCTCGATTTTATATCATCCAAGTGGTCTTTCGAAATGCCCTAGAGATTGGATTCTTAGTGGGACAGTATTTTCTGTATGGATTCAATGTCCCTTCCATGTACGAATGTGACAGATACCCTTGCATTAAAGAAGTAGAGTGCTATGTCTCTAGACCCACTGAGAAGACTGTATTCTTGGTATTCATGTTTGCTGTCAGTGGGATTTGTGTGGTGCTCAATTTGGCAGAACTGAACCACTTGGGCTGGAGAAAGATCAAAATGGCAGTGAGAGGAGTACAGGCAAAAAGGAAATCCATATACGAAATCAGAAATAAAGACCTGCCAAGAATGAGCATGCCTAACTTTGGCAGGACTCAGTCAAGTGACTCAGCTTATGTGTGAGGCTGTGACAGAACTGAAACACTGTGCCAGGTGGAACAGACCCAGACACCATTAGAGAAAGGTACATTGCTTAGGCAAGCATTTTATCAAACCACCAAGAAAGCCATTAAGGTATTGGATCTGCACTTACTGAACTAGCTGCAAAATGCAGTGCTATGTAAAAGACTGAAAAAACAGCTATAAAACCACGCTTGATCTAGCCTTACAGCACAGCTACTATTATTCCTACTTTTCTTTCTAATGATGGGGTGTTATCTGTCGGTGGAGCAGCTTTTTGGTCGTCATTAGGTTAAATTTACGGTTTGGACTGTCTGACTAATTGTTGTAAACGTGTAGAATGTTCATATTAAAAACCTGCAAGGATGCTCTATATGGGGTGGGATGGGGTGGGGGAAACTGTTGCAATGTGCAGATGTAAGCATGTTTTAAAAGGAGGGTAATTGCACTGTAAGGAACCTGACCACAGCTCAATCAGGATATGTGCGTTCACCTATCTCACAGATGTCTTATATTATTTTGCTTGTCTAAATCACAGAGTTTATTCCTGGTGTGTATTACTAGCTATTTTCTATCATAGTTTGTGCATCAATTAGTTATGCTGACCAATAAATGCTGAATATAATTTTGCCATTATTTTTTTGTTTGCCTGTCCACACACACACACACCAGAGACCTTAATCATCTTACATTAGTTGTGATCTGCAAAATATATCAGTACATTTCAGTTCATTCCCTAATATGTGCATGAATAAGATGGAGTTGGTTCATGCCAGCCAAGTTATGTATTTACATACAGTGACCTATGATGACACACATACCAAAGGAACAGAGTTCATTGCTTTTAACTGTGAATATATCACCTTCTCTCTGCTCTTATTTATATAAGTGCCATACTTGAAACATCTAACTCTGTACTTAGTCAAAAGGTTGTCTTGGGGTACCAGCTGGAATAAAGTGATTTTATACTCTCCTTTGTTTATTTTATGCCATTTGTTTAGTCATTGCAATGGTGTAAAAAGCAGCTAAAATCTCTATTGATAAATAAAGTACTTGCCTTTTTTTGTAAGTCAGAGAGATTTGTTCTTCTTTATTATTGTATACAACTGTAGAAACATACAGGGTCAAAATAATTGACTTACAACAACTATTCTTCAGGGTTTAAAATGCCTTGTTGATATTCTAAACTCTAAGTAACAAAACCTGGGAAATCAGGACTATGTGTTTTGTCTGCTTTCCTCCTTAAGCAAACTTTCTCTGTCTTTAAAGCCTGATCCAAAGCCCACTGACACCAACAGCTTGCTTTCTGCTGACACTAAGGGCAACACAGTTGGCTGCCAAGGTCACTCTGGGAATAGCCAGAGTACATTTACCTATAAATGAAACAATTGCAGCATTTCATCAGGGAATCCAAATCGTAACCTCAGCTTTTCCGCCTTACAGCTGGTTCAAAATATACACTGTTCATGTCCCATCAACTTACTGGTAAGCCACTGAGGCAGTCACAAATAAATCTCGGTTAACAGCAATCATTTTAATATAGGATACTAAGTTTTTCTTAAGGACCTCATTTAATTCCCACTGAATTAAACAGAAAATATTCCACTGGCAACAGTAGGAGTTGGATCAGGACTAAAAAAACATACAAGTGCATTCCTAACTATATATTATCTGCCCTTTAAAGAAAAGCGCAGAAATGGTGCTGGAAAATTTGGGGATAGTTTATAACATAAGAAGGAGATGGGCTCAGAGTCACAAACCGCCTTTTGATTGTATTTTATTTCAAGCCTAAAAATGGATTTTATTGTATTTTGCCTTGGAGATAATGCGTATAAATCTTTTCCTCTTGGCTTACAGTAAATACCTCAACATTTCATTCTTGTGGTTTGCCAGCATTGTCACTTAAAAAAAAAGTCAATTAATTCTTAGATAGTGTATTCATTATCACTTTCATCTGTGGTCTTTTTTTCTTCCACTGTGAGACATAAAAAGACTTTGAGATGTGTCATGTTTTTAAAGACTTTGAAAGTATTTTTCCTTATGTATAAAATAGACAGCTTTTCCAATATGATTATAGAAACCTATAAAGATGTTTTTCTCAAATGATTCTTTGCGATATAAATGCACACTGATATTGCTAGTTGGCTGCATGCTCACTGGAAAACTGCATGTTATTTTTAGAAGGACAGCATGGCAGCTAAAATCTCCATCTGCAATATAACAAGCTTCTGAAGATTATTATTTGACACACAAATCCAAGGCTGATTTTCATTTTGCAGAGTCCTAGGATGGTGTGCAAAATCTCCTTTTGAATAGATATTGAAGGGAAAAAATGTTGTTTGACAGTCATAAGCATTGTTTTAATGTTGAAGAAATGGGAGATTGTGTGCAAAGGGCTTGATCCAGTGCCAATTAAAGTTGAAGGAAAAAACTCATACGGAATTCACTGGGCTTTGGTTCAGGTTCAGCATAATTTCCTGTTAGGCAGAAGCCCTAATGCAAGTTATTTCCAGTGGCTGCATAGCAGTGTTTAGTCAAACTCTAGTGAAGGTGCACATCTTGATAGCTGTAAGGTTTTAGTACCTTAGAATTCTTTAGATAAGACCAAGAGAGGGTCTGCTTATAATAGTCAATGCCAGTAACTCAGTTCATTCAATTATTTTACGGAGTTGCGCATTTTGTACTTCAGTAAGTTGGTATTCTTCAGAATTTTCCTAAGAGAAATACATAAGGAAATGCAAATGTTAATTTATGCAACAGGATCAGTGATGAAGTAGGCAAAGACTCATATTTTGATCAACAGGAATATCATCCTCCATATTGACACTAAACAGAATATGGCTTTTCAGAAGAGAAATGAAACAGTGTAAAGAGATCAATTGTTCTAGCCTTCTTTTTCAATTGTTATTTTTCATTTCTTACCAACCACTTATTTGTCACTGACAAGAGAAATATTGCAAACACTATTTTTGTCAATGTATCACATGAGAGTCATATGATTAATGCTAATGGACTGTTTGCATGAAAGCTGACTATTCATTTACAGACTAAATGCTTTAAAATTGTCACAGCAATGGAAAAGTGTGTTAAGTGAGCAGAACCGAGTGAACATGAAGCTGAAGGGCACATTACTGGCCACTTAGGTCTTGCTCCTGCCTTGATGAAATTAATTAGTCTTGCCATTGACATCTGTGGAAGAATCAGACATTAAATAAAAAAATTGAGTTAATGTTTGTTTTATTCATTCTATACCCTGTTTTGTATTGGTGCAATATCATTATGTCATAATACGTGCAAACAAAAATTATGTTCACTAAGCTCTTATGGAAAACTGCAATAGAATTTAATACACTATTGGTTCTGTGGAATTTTAAAATTTACATAAAATACTGATATGATTTCATTTTTACATAGGCTTGATCTTGTGCTTCTCAAACCTGTGTGAATTTCAGAAACTATTTACATAGGGGTTTTGAACCATTTCACTAGGTATATGTAAGTTGCAATTAGACTCTATAAAAAGATTTTTTTAAAAAATAGGAATTTTTTTATATAGTGAAAACTAACTACATTTTAAATGGGGAAGCTGAATTGACTGTTCCCAAAAATAGTTCAGTTTTAGAGACCATTGGCTTTGAAGAAAAATAAGGATTTTCATCTTTCTTAAGGAAAATCTGAAGAACAAAGAGATCAACTGAGATGAATGAATCACAGAAGTGGTGAGACGCATTTTAGTTTGTTTTATGCTAAAGAAGTCAGAAACACTCAGAAATTCCAAAGCAGGCTCAGTGCTTGTCCTGCATTATATATAATAGGGTAGGACATGGCTGCTGCTATGTAGAACTGCAGGAAAAGATGTACATGAAATGTTAAGGTTAAATGTGAGGAAGAATTCCTTTCATCCACATCTAAACCAATACATTTCTTGTAGGGCAAGGGGATGGACCAGGCAGACATTATCCCTGCATCTTTCTGGCTTTATTTTGTTTGAATATAAACATTCCACCTTGCTTCTTCAGTGAAACAGGCTAGATGCTTTTGTTGGGTGCACAAGTATAGAAATGAGAACAAAAAATTGAGACATATGAGGAAAATACAGGCATAGGTTTTCCTCATTTAGGGTCCGGTCTTGTTCTCCATGAATTCAGTGATGTGTTCTGTGGGAGCGAGTCAATTCCCAGTTGGGGAAAGTTCAGTTCCATTATTTCATGAGACTAACAGGGGAGATTACACTATTTCTTTATTGCGCACATCCCTGGACATTTTGGGCTACTTCTCCCAGAAATTCTATTTTATTGTAAGCTTGCAGAAAACATACTAGGTTAGTATCAGCTACTAACAACAGATTCTAAACTCCACCGTCCTCTCAAAGAAAAAAACCTATTAAAACCTATCAGCTTTTTCCCAGTGGTGACTGAAATACAGGATGAATCAGATCTCTAGCTTGTGGAAACCCACATAGACAATGACTCTCTGATGTCCCTTCAAAGTGAGAATCTCTCCTGTATTCAACAGAATGTGAAAGTAAGGTCATTTTCTGCTAATCTACCTCTTTGTGTTATGTGGTGTGGCTAGAAAGGGCCGAGAAATTTTATCAGTACCTGGAGAATAATTAATAGATCCTAAATTGATTAAGCAATTCTGGAGTTTTAGTCTTTCACTGAAAACAATATTTGCTCCATATGATTTCTCTAGAAATATATTACATGGTACCTAATTAAATGTAACTTTCATTTTTGAAATATTCTATTATGTTTCTGATGCAATCATGATCAATGTTTTCATATTTTTTTTTTCCAAAGAAAGGTCAAAAGATTGCTGGTTGAAATTGACTCAGTTTCTATTTTTTTAAGTGTTAATCCTATATTTTATATCTGTTGACAAAATAATTTTTTTTGAGGAATGCTAAAGTAAATAATTATTTGCACCAGTAAAGCAGCATTGCCTCTGGAAGAGATGGCTTCCTTTTCAATGACAAGCTTTGTTTGTCAAATCTATAAGGTTTTTTTTTTTTTTAAAATTAACATAAAGCAGGAATTTTATAACATATTAGAATTATATGTTGTGAGGAGATAAGATTAAGGAAGCATATATAACAGCAAAATTAGGAAAAAAGTAAGGATTTGTAGGTATTAAGGAAAAACAGGTGGGCTATGGACTTAC